ACTTTTTCCCCATGTATTCTAGTCAATATCGTGTTATATTTACTCCAAAATTCGTTTCGATTTATTGTGGGTTGAGTTCTATAGGGTCTAGCGTGTGCAATTATGAATCCAGAACAGGCAAGCTCGTCCTGAAAAGTGTATACTCTGTCAAGTTTCACTTGCATAATGACTTGATGGATCGTGCTTATGAGTGATTTTATGGCCGATTTGGATTTTCATTGTAATTAAAACAATATACATAAAGTAGTTGTGGCTGCAGAGTGAATGAATTGGATGGAATTATTGCGGGTTAGTAAAGATGAGGCTTGTGATCCAAGCTAGTCAGAGTTGTGTTTGCAGGTCGAGATGTAATTAGAAGCAAAAAGGAGAAATCTCAACCTTGGTTTGGGTACTGGTGCAGTTTTTCATTGAGAGGCGAGGTTGTGAACCAAAAAAATACAAAAATAAGCACTTAAGAAACCATAAACAAAATTTAAAATTTCCGTAACAATAGAATGAGTTAAACTATCAATGCAAAGTCTACGCTCCTGTGAGTTGCTGTTGTCGACAGTGTGGCAAATTTAGAGTCGGCGTGTCGCGTTTATATTTGTTATGTTGTGTTTTGGTTTATGTTTTGAATTGTAATTTATTTTTATTCGTATTATAATCAAACACATTAGGTAGGCTATGATATGGTGAAGCAAGAAGGATTATAAGGCTAGACAAATGGAGTTTACCAAGTATTAGATCGAGATGTCTAAAGATTTGAAACTAGAGGCGAGAATGAAAGATGGAGAAGACGTATTAGACTCATAAGATAGAAGTTTTTGATTGATTTTTATAGGTAGATCAATAGGGGACAATTTGATGTATTAGATAGATTCATTGATTGTTTGAGTGAGTGAGAAGTCTTCGTAATTCCTTTTGAGGTAAGGCAATGCCAAATCCCACAACTAATTCTAATTGTGAGGCGTTAAAGCCCACGCATAGGTTGATTGTACTTTACCAAATAAAAGGTAGGTAATGATGTATAGTTGATTTCCAGTGTTGGTCAACCAATGAAAGTTGTTAGGTTTAAATAATAAGTTGCCCTAGGTGATTAAAGAGGAGTGCACACAATTTATTGTCTGAGGTGTGTGCATTGAGGCTTATACCTCTAAACCTCATTAATCTTGGTAAATGTTTTGCACCCCAATGCTATTTATTGTCTTAGGTGTGTGCATCGAGGCGTATGCCTCTAAACCTCATTAATCTTGGTAAATGTTTTGCGCCCCAATACAATTTTTCTGTGCTGGCATATCTCAATTTCGCCTTTTTAAATCACGATGAATTATAATTGTTATTTGTGAATAATCTATTTGCTTGTTAAGAATGGTAGGAATCTTACGGGGATTAAAGTTAATAGCATTTGTACTTCAAAATTTAGCTCTTGTTGACAATTGTGTATTATGTTAGAGTAGGTTATTTTTACTCAGCCACCATATTCTTGGAACATGCGATCATCTCTCCAGCAATGTACTGACTTGCATATCTTCAAAAATTTTCATGTAAAAGAATCATGGTGTGAAAGGGTTACATTGAGGCGCTCAAAAATTGCCTTGGGACGCGAACGTTTAGTGAGATTAATGAGGTTACATCTATGTCGATTGACAAATATGCTTCAATGCGCATACTTCAGACAATGATAGGCTTGTACTCCTCTTCAATCAGCTGGGCCCCACATTTTATTTGAACCTAACAAATTCATTGGTTAATCAGCTTTGGAAACCTACTATATTTATTTGTTAATTTAATTTGGATATTCACCGTATATTAAACCTTCCTAATCTATTTAATTATTTATTAATCAACCATATATAAGTCCAAATATACAACACGTTGACTCTAGTATTGCAGCACGCTGACAACTCGCAACGGAGACTTGGCTACGGGAATTAATACTTTTAACTTGTTTATCGTTTTGAGAATTTTAAAGCTTACTGCATGCTTATTTTTGTATATTCTTTGACATTTTTTTGGTTCAAGGGAGGCTCACACCTCGCCTTGCAACGGGAAATGCTTTGGTACTCGAATTCACCTTTTTAAACACTGAAAAGAATATAATCTTCTTTCATATATAACTTGTTTTAAATCCTGCTGATTGGCATCTCGTTGATTGTCCATATTTAACTATTTTTTGCAATGTAAATAAACCAAAATGTCCCCTAAGAAAAAAAAATGATATCAACTTAGTATCATGTTGCTAAGCTGAACAATGTCGATTTTCTTTGCTTAATTGGATGATATGTAAATAATTATTCCATAAGTTCAAAACTAAAGATCAGTGCAAGTTAGTCAGTTTGATACTTTTTATTTCAATGCTGGCTTGACCATCAGGAAACCTGATTTAGTGACATAGCATGGAAAAATATTTGGTATTGGAACTAATGTTCTACATTCTTTGTTTAGCAATCATTTCTTGGATGAATGATTTGGCTAGTTATTACCATGTTGCCAATTTTGAGCGTAGGTCAGGTAATGATTAAAACCTCAAAAGTTGTTTTGAGAAGCCAAGAAGACACGTTCACTTGACTCTGTGATCTCAGATTGGTGATTAGTTAGTCAGTGTATCTGAAAGAATAGTTATTTAGGTCGTGTTAAGGCCATCATTAGAGTTTAATTTATTGATTAGTGTCTCTGGTTTGCACTCCCATGGTTCTCTCTCACACACACAAGGAGAAAGATGCATGTGTTTGCCTGCTTTTATTTTCAAGTAACTCAACCGAAAATCTTATGGATATTGGATATATTATTTTTCATTCAAAAAGATCATGGTCTAAGATGTAATCCACGGTGTTTATTATGCTCAACAAGAACCTCTGTCTCCCCCTTTTAGTGTAGCTGTATTTGTTTTTGGTTTAGATGTTCTCTAGCACAGGGGTGGGAAAATATTTTGCAGTTACCATGGAGTTGGATGATAGATCTGAATGTATGCCTTTTTTTTTCTTTTGCTCTTTTGCCCACCTTTTATATTTCACTTTTCATTTTCATCTTGACAATGTAGTGCAAGTGGCGCTCTCCTGTTATTTTCTTGGAACTGACCCTATGAATATAGGTTTATAGATGAATAAAAATGAAATTTTGTGCTGCTACCATGCAGTATGTTCGTGGATATCCTTGTATTCATGTTCTTTTAGGGCAGACATAAAATGAAAACTATATATTGTCCGCGTATTGTTACTGGTACTTGAGTGTTTCTGTTGACTGCTTTCCGTTTCAGGATTTTTATCTTTATCTAGTTTTCTAATTTTTTTCATATTCCCTTTTATTGGTTTCCATTAATTTTCTCTCCACACTTTTCTTTTACTGCAGAAATTACTCCGTGCAGTAGGCCTTTTTGCTGGCTCCATCATTGTGATGCGCCAGTACGGCGATCTGATGACCGTATGAAAGTGGATGATGGTTGTCTATCATCGAGTTGAGTTTCTAGTTATTTAGGATTGGTGGGGGCTTCTGCAATTTTTTGCACATCATTTTACTGGATGAAACTTCTTGCTACAAAATGAAAACTTGTTAGAATGAGTTTACCAATTCAAATTGAGCTGATAACTTTCAGATCTTATGCTCAGAGATAGACTCTATTGCTGATTATCTTTTGGTTGTGATTTTATAATTGCTGTTATGGTCGTCAATACCACTTTGTAGAACCATACTTCGCTACATTTGCATTTCAAGTTCGTTATCCTAACTGTCTCCTCTCCTCTCCTCCCCTCCACCAGGAGCCTGGCCCCTTGTGTCTTATCTACTGCCTTGCACCTAGGGTTGGGTGCTGGATTGGTTCCTTAGTTAAGAGTCAAAAAAGATTGCCGAACCTTCTAGTTTCCTCTGAATTGAGGCCTGAGGAAATGGAAAAACTAATCGATTCATTAGCCCAGAAGTATCATTTCGCTCATCCTTGGTCTTTTTGCTTTTTTGGCGAAGCATACGAAGTTTACTTGTTAACTTAATAAGTTAATTTTATGAATAAATAAATGTTTGGTAAAAAATATGGGCCTGGATTTTTAGGTGTAGATTCGAAGAGGGAAAAATAATTTTTTTTAACAAAGTTTCTTGATTTGTTCCATTTTTACCACGCACTATTTCTTGCCAGGGTCTAAAATATTTATTCATGAACACTACTGAAAAGAGGTATCTATGTATATCAACGACATCAACTAAATGATCAAAGGCGCGATACAGGAAGCCGCTGCTCTATATGAACTACATGGTAGGAACAGTGCTTCGTTTCATTGCTACAGGGAGGCACATAAAGGAGTAAATTTAGGGGTACTAAATCGGATTCAGAAGGTCGAATATAACCACACATTAAAAAAAATGTTTTTATGTTTATAGGCGCAAATTCAATTGTACCAATTACGATTCAAAGGGGGATAATTGAAGGTTCAACAATCCAATATCGCTTCGTTTAGTTTCATAAGTTTCCTACATATTTAGAACTCGTTTCTGTTTAGCCTAGTTCATCTCACCACTAGGTAAGACTACAGCTATTTCATGCTTAAGATGTAACCGTGAAAACTAAACACATTCGCATTTTGTGACACGAGGCGTAATGCCAACAAAAGTGATTTAACATATAGCCTTGACAAGGGCAGCACCCACTAGAAGGATTCAGATAAACCTTTTGGGAAAAGACGTTGCCATTTAAAGGGAGATTAAGTAGAACAAAATTGACTGGCCGGTAAAATCGCAAAAACACTTCTTACAAATTTTGGACCTCCAGTAACATGGATGCAAGATTAGGCCATTTTATGCAAATTGTAGTACCAAAATTATCATATTTTGGTCATTGGGATCAAGATACATCTTTCATCAAAGCCCAAGTAGTCCAACACGAGAAAAATGAATTTCAACATCAAAATTCAAAGCTCACAGGATTCTGTCAAATTTTCAGCTAATATTTTAGTGAAAAAAAAGTCTGCTAGATGTAAAGTTAACAATAACAAAACAAATGAAAGACATTTCAGTTTTCCTCGAAAGCACGCCTAGAAAAGTGAGGTTCCCTTTCCTTTCTTGTCTCCACCAATCTCAAAATGCTTGCACCTCTGCAAGGCCAATGATGATAATACAATTGAAAGTACCACTCATGGATATGATAATGAAATACAAGATACAAATATAAAAAACCAACCTTAATTGGGTGTTGGGATACATGCTTGCAGCCCTGGCATTGCAACCTCAGCACAATCTTCTTTGTTGTTTTTGCCTAGACCGGAAAGACAATAATAGAAAATTAGTTCACTCAAATTTTGAACCAAATCTCCACTAGCAAAATAACAATGAGACGAGATCTTAGGTTATAATATTTTCTTATTTAAATCATGTTGCATTGATAAATTTTATCTACTCGATAAAGAGATTTTGGATATAATCAAAATTATTGGTATGAAATTAGTTATCACCTTCTTGTGGAAGACAGGCTTGGTCTGTCCACCATAGCCCGACTGCTTGCGATCATATCGCCGTTTCCCTTGAGCAGCTAAACTGTCCTTGCCCTTCTTGTACTGCGTAACCTTATGCAAGGTGTGCTTTCTGCACTCCTTGGATTTGCAGTAGGTCTTCTTTGTCTTCGGAACGTTCACCTGCAAACATCAATTCACGATTAAACACTTAAGATGTGTTTTCGTACTTTGTTACGTCGTCATGAAAATTAAATGATTAGCAGAATATACTGAAATATAGAAGTAAACCTAGTGCTTCAAACTGTTTAGAATGTGAACAGCAAGCAGCAACTAAAGATAAACAAATAAATAGAAAACAATGGGGGAGCAACGCTAAGCAATTTGGAGGTAAAGAATCAAGAACTTGGGAAAAAACATACATAGTTATCTAGAGTGATTAGAGAAATGCAGTCAATGACGAGATTGGAATCAGATTAACGAACCCCCAAAATCTTGAAGAATTGTTCCAAAAAACCATCTTAAACATAGTGGGAAGACAACTTGATACTAAACAAAGGAGCCTTGGGAAAATAGCCAGGCAAACTGAACATATCTTATGTAAGTTGACAATAATTCAACTGGTGCAATCGAGAACAAATCATTGTGATTTGGAGAGGTAGATTACATATGCAGCTACGTCAGCAGGAAGAAAGAGAGGGGGGCTGGCATAATAAGCTATTTTTCTAAACTCAACCAAAAATAATTCTTGCAGATTCAAGGGAGGAACAATCAAGAACGCAAAGGGTTGAAAATAAGTTCCATAAATTGAAAGGTTAAACTCAACAATAGCATACAGAAGCACCGCAAGCTTGTAGAAAGAAGTTCAAACTCAATATCCATCAGCAAAAAAAAGTTGTTCTAGTTCATTTGGTTCATGTAATCTTCCTTTGATAAGATATACACAGTTAATCAACTGTAATTCTATTCATTTCTTCATTGCACCTAGATCCCCATAAAATGCCCCTAAATAACTCTAAAACACGAAACAAGATGCAAGAATTCATCAAAAAAAACAGAACCATTAAGCCTAAAAAAAGAAGAAAATTCTCAAAAAAACAAAATATATTAGGTGAAAAGCAACCCACTCAAACTGAATTTTTTCGTTCCTGTCTTTGGTCACCATAAAATAACACTGAATTGACAACATAATTCAGAAAAACTCACAATAGCTTAAACATGTCCATTTAATCATCAATTGCTTAAACACGTCCATTTAATCACATATCATATCTTCATTACAAAAAAAGGAAAGGCGAACCGATCTCAAAGTAAACGAACTAAAAACAGGAAATTAGAAAAACATAACAGCGAAGGAAAGCTTAAGGAAGCCGCAATTACCATGGTTGATGGCAGACTCAGACGGAAATCGAGTGGCTCGATGATAAGTTCTGCAAAATGCAGTCTAGAAAACCCTAGCTGGGGGAAGTAGCTGTTAGTAGTAACAATGTTAGGGTTTTGATGGAAGGCCCAGCCACAAAAAAAAACGAGGCCGTATATTATGGGCCATTAGTTTTCAGAGAAATTACACAAATAGCATTGAGTAGTCAGAAAATGATTCGGGCCTAAAAAGTAAGGAAATATTACATATTCAAGAGTATAAGTTTAGTTTATTTCAAAAATAAGAATAAAAGTTTAAAGTTACCAAAATCGAATTTTTTTTAAATTTTTAAATATTTAATTATAATATAATATAATTAACCCATCCCACCTTCACCACCCCTACCGCTCTGGCGACCATTCCGATCACAGCCCTACTCTGGGGAACTTTTCGACGATCGTTCCGACGACTACTCCGATTTCGGCTACTGTTCCGACGACTGCTCCGCTATATTTTTTTGTACGGTTAATATTTTTTTTTTTTACGGTCACAACCTAGGTCACAGCTCACAAGTCACAAGTCACAGCTCACAAGTCAAGAGTCACAGCCCATATCACAAGTCCTAGTTCAGGTTACATGTTATAAGTCAAGAGTCACAACCCAAGTCACAAGTCACAAATCAAGTCACAGGTCAGGTCACAAGTCATAAATCAAGTCACAGGCCAGGTCTCAAGTCACAACGCATCATGATTGTTTGTTTAATCACATATTTTCAAATTTATTAGTCACGTGTTAATTTTTAATCACAAATTGTCGAATTTTTAAGGTCATGGTTAATCTAAATATAAATTGTCCAATTTTTAAGATCACAATTAATTTAAATAGTTGGTCACATACACCACAACGATCGCCATGGCACAACACCTCTATCTCCACAATAAACCACGCACAAAATAATTGTCCCGTGAATAAAAGAGTCATTGTTAGTTTACTGAGAATAAAAGCAAATACTTGGTGTACAAGGCTGACTATCAAATGCCACAAATTCCCTTGAGCTTATTCGCCGCATCATCATCCACCAAATATTGCAAATTGTCACAAAAATCTCAGAATAAGATACAAACAAAATGCAATTGCACGAAGGATAGCAGACTCTACAACATAATTAACAATTTCATTTACTTTATTGACCTTATCGAGGACCCAGAGGGAGTGAGTATAAGTTCTTTGCGGTGGCGGGTGGGTGTTCGGAGTCGATGAAGATGGGAGGCATGGCAGTGTCTCTACAACATAATTAACAATTTCATTTACTTCATTGTCTGTTGCTGAAGATGGGAGGCGTAGCAGTGTGGGTGCGTGAATGATGGTGGACATGCAAAAGTGAAATTGGTGGAAAGAAGCGACTGCCAGAGACGAGTGGAGTTGAGGTGGAGAGAAAGTAGTCCGAAGGAGTTGAGGTGGAGAGAAAGCAACTATCCATTGGCACTCATCTACTCATTTATCCAAATAAACATGCTCGCCTGAACTGAAAATTAGCAATTCCATCAGATCCATCGCCTCCGCCTCGAAATCCACCACCTCCGCCTTCACGTTCGCCTCGAAATCCACCACCTCTGCCTTGAAATCCACTGCCGAATTGTGCAGAGCTGCATGCAGCAGCTTCTCGTGCCCGAGAGCGTCTTCGTTGGCAACGATCTCCTGTGCTTTTTTGTGATAGAGAGAATTGTGAGAATAGAGGGAGAAAGAGAGAGAGAGAGGAGGTTGAGAGGTGAGATTTAATTAGGGATAATTAGGGATTAATTTCAGCATATTTATTTTATAAAGATTTTAATTAAAATAAAATATCTGATTTTGGAAATATTAAATTTTCAATCTGCTTTAGAAGTTTAAAAACTTTAAGTATGGTTTCATGTAATTACCCAATTCATATATTATTTGTCCCAATAAGAAACACCTTTTCTCTCCTTTTTTATTAAAAAATATTTGGGAAATTATAAAAAATCAGAGGTTTAAAGATGACTTTTTCAAAATCAGGTCCAAAGTTTATTTATTCAAAAATCAGGTAATATATTAAAACTCTAACCCCCCTCCCCTCCCCTCTCTACATTCTCTCTCTCTCTCTAAACCAACCCATTGCCTCCCTCCCGTCGCTGTCGCCAGCCGTCATCACCCAAACCCATCACCACCCTCAATCCATATCGCCGGTCAGAAGGAGTTCGAATTGCGGCGAGTTGCATCGAAAGTTGATTCATTGGACCGAAGGTTGAGTTTCAGATCAACAATCTCTGAAAATCCTCTCTTCCCAGTAATTCTAATCGAGTCACTTTCATTGGTTTTTGAGGTTTTTTTGTTGTGGATCTGCGGTTTTGAGGGATGGTGGTGAAGGTGGTTTTTGAGGTTTTTTTGTTGTCAATGGTGTATGTGGATCTGGAGATGTTAGTGGTGGATTTTGGCGGTGGTGAGGTGGTGGATTTGACACTGTTGGTTGTGGTAAGGTAACGGTCGCAAATGGCTATTGTGTGGCGGCGGTGGTGTCGGGGTGAGGGGGTCAAAAGTGGCCTGGTGGTGGCAGTGGCTGTGGTGTGGTGGTGGTGGATCTGACGGGGTTTTGGGCACGGTGGTTGGTTTGGGCGTGGTGGTGACCTGTCAAGGTGGTGGATGAGGATCGGAGGTGAAAGCGAGATGTTGGTTAATCTGTAACCAATCATTTTGTTATCTGTGACCTAAAAATTATATAATCTGTGACCGTGTAAGAATATGTAACCATGTGACCTACAAATTTTTTGATATGTGACCAATTATTTGAAATACATGATCGAAAAATAAATTGTGACCAATTAATTTGAAAATCTGTAACTTATAAATAAAATTGTGACCATTAATTGTATAATTGTGACCTAGTTATATTTAATTAATGAATATTTTTAATTAATTACCAAATACCTGAATTTTGAATTTTTAAACTATATACCTGTTTTTTGAATTGGTGTAAACCATACACCTGAATTATGAAATTTTCCCAAAATATTTTAACTAAGATTAAGCTATGAATAGGGACGACAAAAAAACTCGACAAACCCGATACCTGCGAGGTCCCACCCCGAACGGGACGAGGATAACCCGCTTAATCGGGTAACGAGGCGGGGAATTTCTTAGTTGAACCTCCCCGCCCGCTGCCATCCCTAGCTATAAAGGGCAAATATGTCAACACACTTTTCACGCGCAACTCATAAATGGATGGCAAATGTATTCCAGGATAAGATGCATTGGTTAATGAAATAGCGAGGTTCGAACGGTTAAAAATAATAGTCGAGATGAGTTGCTACAAGGGTCAAATGTTGAGAATAATTTACCGTATAATGAATAATTTTGTTGCCTACTTATTAATATGGTGTTTTACTTTTAATTTTTTTAAAAAGTAAATTTTATTTATTATACTATCTAGGCAAATTCAATAATTCTAATTGATATACACCGCAAGTTCAAGAATAACCCAGTAAAATAACACATATTATGCTAAAATTTAGCATTTTGAAGTAAAGTTTTTATAAATTTTCTAAAGGAAAAGAAATTAACGAATACAAAATTCTATAATAAGTCTTTTCTTTTCTATCTTATTATAGGCGTCGAATCCCTAGTTCTTGCTAGAAAATTAGAAAAATACTGCCACAGAAAGAAGAAACAGCTAAAAGATGATAAAAATTGTATAATACATCAATTTTCGGAAGCCACACTTCTCTATCGTACACTGCATTGCTTATGAAGGGGTCTCTTTAGACTTCTGTACATCACAAACTGGACAATAAAAAAATCATGAGATAACACTGTGTCGTCTTGACAGAACTCCTGCCCCCGCCCCTCTTTCTTTCTCACAATCGTCACTTGAAAGAAGTAAAAAAGCTGATGGTATCCTTGAGACCTACGATGAAGTCATCAACATCCTCTTTCGTATTGTAGAAGTGAAGGCTTGCCCGTGCACTTGCATTGATTCCCAGATAACGGTGGAGAGGCTGAGCACAATGATGGCCGGATCTAATAGCTATACTATGCTGCAAGGTTAAGAATTTAAACAAGGCTGAGCATGTACGATTTTAAATACATTGAAAGTTTTAAGAATTTAATAGTCCAAATTTTAAAGGTTGAGGAGTAAGTTGCTACTAGCACAATAGGTTGGGGACTGATGCTGCAATTTTTTTCTTTCCTTCCCTGAAGTTGCAAAATTCTCCCATTCTTTTATTGTAACTTTTGAAGAAACAACAAGAAAAAAGGGGCAAATCTGTTAGCCAAGAAGGATGTACATATACCTGTTGATCAAGAAAGGTTGCAAGATCTGTAGGGTGAACATCTTCCACATTGAAAGAACAAAGTGCTGCTCTAACGATAGCTTTTGACGGTGCTGGGCCATAGACACGAACGTTGGGTATTGATTGTAGACTGTCATAAAGATAGTTAGCCAGCTCTACCTGTAAATGTAAAGAGAATGAAAGTGGAACTAGTCATTAGTCATAACTAATATCTGAGACAGTAAACAGATGCCCTTTTAGAAGGAAGGATGGGAAGTCTGAATCATGAATCACTAGAACAAAGGATGTGAAGTTTGAATCATGAATCACCTCATAATCATGAATGTTTTGCATTCCAATGCCTGATAAATAATCAATTGCCGCTCCCAAACCAATTGCTTCCCCAATAGCAGGTGTTCCAGCCTCAAATCTGATATCATGGGAAAGAAAATTATTTAAGAGACTTAGACATCAGCAAAGAAGAATTATGGTCACCAAGAAAATAATGGGTTGAGTGGTAACCAAAAACATAAATAGATCACCACACGTATCAAAATCCACTTATGCAGTTTGATTAAGATAATCAGCTGTTCAAAATAATAACAAGACTAATAATATGAACGAGACACCAAAAAGTTCAACCTGTTTGGCGTGGAAGGGAGGCAGTAAATCAAGTTTTGAGGTAGACAAGTACATTGTTAGATGAACAAGATGTTACCAGTCATAGAACTGAATTCATGGAAACAGGTAGACAAGTACATTGTTAGATGAACAAGATGTTACCAGTTGTAGAACTGAATTCATGGCAACAAATACCTCAGCAGGACTTCAATAATTAGCCCATATTAAGGCTCCATTATAATGTGTTTTTGGGGAAAATGTATTTTAGAATAGTGATTTTTTTGAAGAAAGTGTGGTTAAAAATGAAGGAAAAATTTTGGGTTTATATGTAATGTTATTTTATTGGATAATGTGTGGTTAAAAAGAGGAGAGAAAAAATGTATTATAGATAAAATGGAGCCCAAATAGGGGCCTAATATCTAACTATGACAGAGGCCGACTTACCCATCATAAACTTTTAGTATAACCCTAATGATTAATGTCAAATTTCTAAACTATATTTTGAAAGCATACCAAGACTTGCCATTTGCCAAGGTTACCTATTTTAAAAAACACTAAATATTACAGCTAATAATAACTCGAAGGCAGACTATCACACCTAGGATTGTCTGTTTAAATCCTGATTGAATATCTATGTTATTTCAACAATATTTTGAAAGATTCCTTAATGAAATTTGATGCACTTTGAAAGATGTCCAAAAATAGCCTTTACTGGTAGGTGTAGTAGATGGAAATCATGCAGCATGTTCCATAAAGTGTTCTAAAATGATAATTTAGACAAAAAACTGTTCACAAAACGTCGAGTGAAGTTCTAGCCAGGGTCGTCCCTTTTTTCAAGGTGAGAAAGAGGACACAATTCTTAAATATACCACTAGTTCCTACAATTTCATGAATTCACAGATGATTTCATGTGCACCCTGAAGCATGTGACGTCTGATCGTGCTTTTTATGGAAACTCACAAATATGGCACGCAATAAAACAGAACTACATCTCTTCGTTGACCTCCGAGTAGGTCTTAACATCAAATTTTAAATCAATATCAGATTCCTGCTTTCAAATATATGGAAGCAAAGGTGCAGAGCCATCTATCCACTTCTATCTGCCCCTGATAGTTCAAACAATATCTACTAACCTTGATGGAGGTTCGGCAAACGTAGAATGATCTAAAAATACGTCAGCTATCATTTCACCACCACCTGTGATTCAGGGAACACGAAAATAACATCACAAAAGGCTTGAAGGTCCCACTGCTAGGAATCCAGAGACTAAGACAGATGCTGATCTAAATTCTTTCAGATCCGAATGGGAGAAAAAAAGGCTACTTATTGAAAGCCAAGCTTACCTAAGAAAGGAGGCATCGCAGACAAGAGATCACTTTTACCATATAAGAATCCGATGCCTGTAGGCCCACACATCTGAAACACGTTTATTTCTTAACTTCAAAAACTCATTTACAAGACTTCAGAGAATATGGTGCAAATGGGAAAAGAATATGGTGCAAATGGGAAAGACCTAACCTTATGAGAAGAAGCAACCAGAAAGTCAGCATCAAGGTTCTTAACGTCTACCACCATGTGTGGAACACTTTGACAAGCATCTACAAGGACCTTGGCTCCAACATCATGAGCCCAACTCACAATTTGATTGATTGGAAGAACAGAAGCTGGAGAAAAGATGAAATATAACAATGAATAGGTGCAACTGTTATAAGCAATTTTTGTTATGGCTTCTTAACATAATAAGCCCCAGTTTGATCCCCATTATCCAAAAACTCATTTTTTCCCAAACTCATTTCAACCACACATTCTCACAATAAAATATTTTGCATGTAAACGCAAAACTTTTTTTCTACTTTTTAATCACACGTTCTCCAAAAATTCACAATTACAAAACTCATTTTCAACAAAAAAAATGGGGCTCAAACACATCCTAAGTAATTTTACACTGTCAAGAAATTCAGCAAAGGACATTTAGCAATTCAACGGAGCCAGCCTTCTTCATTTTAGGTCTCCAATGACATGGCCAGTACCAATGTTCATGTCTTATCTAGAATATTCCCAAGGTTTGAAGGATCATATCACAAGAACGAAAGTAAAAATATATAGAACGGAAATGAAAATAGATACCCTGGTACTCTAAGTTGACTTAAGAACCTCAAATATATAAAGGATTGATATTAACAAACTTCAACACGAACAATTTTGTGATTTCACATGATTTCATTCAGATATGTCACCAAAATAAGAAACTAGTAGTTGTCAAAGAAAAAAAAAAGCTGTTCCAGGGATGTGGTCCAGGCAGATGGCTTCCCACATTTGAAGGATCTAACCTGAAAGCAGGACTTTGGGTGACCGTACACAGTTTGTTTTGTTTGAGATAATCAATGTAACTTTGTATTTGTATATCTTAACAGGCTATACTGTCAAGCTCTCAAAAGAATTCAGTTTAAGAAGTGAATCGACGATCAGTTTGCAAAGAACCACTTCTAATATATGAAACAAACTGACACCAGCCGATATTAAATGCATATAGCCCATGGAAATAACATTAGGAAATAAATAACACCACGAAGATTCCAAAAACACATGCATTGACCATTAAAAGGACAAACTCGGTCTAGTGTTTTTTATCTGCAAGGTGCAAATATAGAACTGATACAGGCAACTAGCCAACGAATACATAAAACATGAAAAACAGATTTATGCCTGTCAAAGCAAGTTTCTAGCTAATTTAGATCTCATTTTTATTCCTCCGAGATGTTTCTCTTTCTTTCATGGAGTGATTGCATTGAGATCGCAAGACAGTAACACTCACCAAGAACATTTGAGACATGATGAACAACAAGAAGTTTTGTCTTCTTTGAGAGCATTTCCCTCAGCTTTCCTACATCAGGAACCTCACCGTCGGTTAAACTTACAAATTTCAAAATTGCACCAGTCTTTTGAGCTACAAACTGCCAAGGAACAATAGCACTGTGATGTTCTGCTATTGATAAAATAACCTGCAAAATTCGAATCGAGGACTTCTGAGTGAATTTTAAAAGAACATTAATCATAGTAAAATGATGTTGATCGAGTTGGCTTGGGGTAAAGAGCCGTAAGCACGGTGGGGAAGACAGAGGACATGCTCGTATGGTCATGGATGGTGCAGCCAAGGAATTAAAGTCGCATGAGTTTAACTGAATTTAACATGTTGAAGAATCATACGAGCTCTAATTCACCCGTTTAACAATTAGAGTATTAGAAATGCCGCCTAATGGACTAGATAAACTTTAATAATAGAAAATGTAAGAAAGTTGTTAACAAAAAATCATTCAATTTTAACTTCCAATACCAGCAGCTACTTAAGATGAAGCTCTACATGCATGGAAGTCCTAAGATAGCAAGAGGTTTCTGTATAAACCTCAAAGTCAACACTTGCACCTTGTTTTTTTCTTCTTATGTGTTCATTTTACTGCAAAAGAAAATGAGGATATATCTACCATACAAACCTCTCATGTCAAAAAGGTTCTACTCATGCAAAGAATTTTCTTTCCCAAAAATTGAAATGATTTAAGGATGTATATCAATCAAGAAGATCAATGTGAATCATCAGAAGATCACTCCCGTAAGAACTATATTTCCAGTTTTTCAGCTCTTCTGCTACTAAAGATATTGAAGTTTGAATAGAAACGGAAAACTGATGGGTAAGTCAGAAAAAGAATCGGTAAGAATCAGCTTTCATCACTTTGATGGGTGCTGGAATTTCATTGCGCAAGTCTACAGACTATCCTTTTTTAAAATCCATATCTCACCTCTTTTGACTTGTGATGTAAGGAAGAGTGAGATATGCAGTAATAAAATCCATCTTCTGCAACCAAATTTTCCGAACTTTCGACTACTGAACTTCCATCAATTCATTACACAATTTTCTGTGAAGCCAAGCCACCAGCCTGATATATCTTAATCAATTTCGCTCAGAAAAACTATTTCACTGCCAAAAAGCTTCAAGGAAAAATATTGCACACCAATTCTTAGAGCTATCTGACTTACAAGCAGTTCTCAACCACGGTTTAGGGCAACCTTCCAACCAAGCTGCATCAGGTTACAACTGAACTTTCTCAGTCACCAAGGCCATGAAGACTTCCAACAAACCAACCTTGTCATCCAGCTTTTGCCTTCCTCTTATAGGAATCTGATAGTGTAGAGCTTACCCCACACTATTTCACTCTCCTTTCATTTTCCTTGATTATCAAATCATGCAGATATAACCTAATGTTTTACGCCAATATACCTATGTATCCACTTTGCCTCTACCAAACTATAACCGATCCAGCTCAATTCTAAGCCTAAGCAAGCAGAGGACAAGTACATAATCGTGCCCTCCAACTAGCTTGAGCTATTGTCCACGATCTACAAAATCTAGTTTGAAATCAGAAATCATCAATGCAGGCCGAATGAAATTTTTTTCTTAACATTACTTGCTAGAATTTGGCGATTCAAATAGAGAGATTACAAACTCAATTTTCAGATATTCCTTGTTAATAATTCTGTAGTTCTTTATCATCTTTTTCATCTCCAAAAAATTCATTTCAATTGCGTCTTCTGAGAAGTATACAAGCAGTCCTATTTACCCACAACATTAGGGCTAAGTTTGGATACTGAACCTCAGTTTGGAAAAAGAAAAAGAAAGGGTAAAGGCATATATTAAATTGTCAAAAGTCTCCCTTATTTAACTTCTCACAGTAATTTACCTCTCTCTAAAACCTAGAATTCAAAAGGAGAGCCAAGAACTTGTAAAATTCTAAGCGGTGAAAGTTTATGTGCAAGGCCAACAGAAGGAGAATTTTTATAAGTCAACTCTTAAGAAAAAAATCCTAATTTGTGTGAATTGCATAGTAATTATGATGGCACTAAGTGTGATGACACGAATGGAAGAATAAAATTAGGGGTGGGCGTGGGTCGGTTCGGTTGGGTTTTTTTCGGTTCCAGAAATTTTCGGATATTTAGTAAATGGAACCATCGGTACCAAATATAATTTTGGAACCGTTCAGGTTCGGTTCGGTTCGGTTCCGTACCATAATTAAATTTTTAAATATTTTCAGCAACACTACATAAATACAACTAATGACATTTCATTCGTAACTTTTACAAATTAACGTAGCCCAATTAAAAAACATATNATAAATGCCAAGTTCAATCTTAACTTTTACAAATTAACGTAATCTAATTTAATAACATATAAATAATAAATTGTCAAATACAAATACGAAAAAGTAAATATTATTAATAAAATTTCGATAATTCATATCAATAATTCATTTGTTTCAAACATTCAAGTCTACATAAAAATGAAATAAAAATTAGAAGTAATAAAGATAAAATATTTTAAAGTATTGATAATACTTACCAACTATTTAATGTAATAATCAGTTGCTTGACTTTTCATACTAACTACTAAGAGACTATACAAGAAAAAATTGAAAAAAACACAACTAACAAACATAAATAAACTCTAAATTGTTTAATAAGAAAAAAATTATTAATTTATTTAGAAAAAATGAAAGAAATTGATTTATCCAATATAAAAAAAAAATTTCGGTTCTTATTCGATTCTTCGGTTCTGGGTTTAGAACCGAGAACCGAACCAAACCATTCGGTTCTCGATTCGGATACCCGTTCGGGAATTTCATTTAAAAAAACCGGCTCGATTCGGTTCGGTTCCGGTTCGGTTCGGACATTTTGCCCAACCCTAAATAAAATCAGATAAAATAATAGCAAAATAGAAGAAGACAAATAACGCAGTTGACAATTTTGCCTACGTTAACAAAGCAAAACACTGTAATGTTTCACTATTAAAAAAATGGAAATTACAACAACACTCAATCACACAAGCTTAAACTCTTCATTGCTAATTTTCTAAAAAAAAAACTTTTCTCAAGCCTCACTTTCACTCTTTTGGCCGTGTATCACTTTGTCTTTGTGTTGGTGTTTTTTTAACAAGGGAAACGGCACACACATATATAGCATGGAAACTTGCAGCCCAATTTTGGTCAAGGGGGAGTTGCAATTTTGGGAGAAGTTGTAATAGGCAACTTGTTATGAGCCACATGTACCAACAAATCTTCACCTTGGCGACTAATCGGGCAGAATGCTAATACTACGAGTCTTAATAAGTCTGTGCAATGCTTGAACTTCTCAGTAGGCACTCGCTTGGATAGCACATCGGTTGCATTCTCCTTTGTGTGCTATGATCCCAATATGTTGGAACATGTGGCTAGCAGTAAGCCACATAACAAAACTTAGTGAACAAGATTTTTGTCTCTATTGCCCATAAGGATTTAGGGACCAAGTTTCCTGTGCTATATATACATGTTTCCATTCGATGAAAACAAGCCAATAAACACAAAATAGGAAAGGAGATGCGGGCCAAGTGAAAGTTGTGGCATTAAACCCACTTTTTGGTGATCATACCATGCAATCGCAATTTGATGTTCAAATTTCGGTGCATAGTTTGAAGGTCAAATTGCAGCTACATAGTGTGAACACTAAAAAGTGGTTTTACCGCTACATTTCTACCATTTAAAGTCAATTTTTATAGTAACTTTTTTATCATTTCTACACTTTCCATGTCCATGTCGCTTACATTTCCACAAGGCCAATAGAGGATCTAAACCATATGAACTTGTCATTATTGATTGACTTTGTAAGCATATCTGGTAGGTTGTCTCCAATATGGATTTTTTTTTATATCCATACTTCTTTTTTCCACCTTCTCACGTACAAAGTGACACTGAATTCGAATGTGCTTTGTCTTTGATTGAAATGTTGAATTCTTTGCTAAGTGCAACGAGCTCCGACTATCAAAATAGCGTAATATGGTTGCGAATGTTAATGAAGGAGCTTGGACACAAAACAAGAAAAGACTACACACCTAGTTTTAGTACTATATATACGGAATAGAATCATTTACTTGTGGTAACTCATTCTTACGAGAAAAATAAAGAGAAAGGGAAAGAGTTTAAAAGAGAGAAAAAATGCTTGTAGTTTTTCCTTTGTTTAAAAGGGTGTTTTCTCCTATTACAAGGGCCTGTTTGGCATGGATTTTGAGAAGCCAAAATGAGCTTTTGAAACTCAAAAGTTGCTTTTGGATCCATTGGGCTAATTTTATGTAAGTGTTTCTTCTAAATATAAGAGCTTTTAAAGGAAACTAGTTCTATGTGACTTCCTCTAAAAGTACTTCGAAATAGAAAGCTCTTTTCAAAATTAGTCTTCAAATAAAAATTAAGTTAATTTCTTCAGGAAGTTTTTCTAATGGAAGCAAGTAAAGAGAAGTTGTTGTAATCCTTTTACTATAGTGAAATATTTCAACAGTTTGCCCGTGATTTTTTTTTTTTAATCAATTTTCTCATTTCTACTTTAGTTGTATTTTTTGTGCTTAATACCACAACTTCCTTACAAAATTGAAGAGTGGGGAAAAACATTTTGTAGTGCAAGTGAGCTTTTGTTAAGTTGAATTTAGTTGTAATGTCCATTTTTTCCGAACGGTGAAATGCTATAATCTTCCCCCACATAGGCAAAATTGCCAAAACAGATAAATCTAGTGCATTCCAATTTTGCTATTACTTTTTCATGATCATTATTATTCTTTTACTCATGTCATCACACTTAGTATCATCATAATCACTACATATTAAAATTCATGCGCTAATAAATTACTCATATATGGCGTTTGATTGGGTTCCATTTTTTTTTAACTCAATTATTAAATCATTTATTTGGGACCATGAACATTGACAATCGAGGATTGTGGCCGATAGATTAAATTGGTCGGAGGCCGGACAATTCCTAAATGGTTAAATAGAATTGATCAAAGTTGAATGACAAAACTACCCCAGCTCAAATTTGTGTGAATTTTGAGGGACAAAATTGGCACTAGATAAATTAAAAGTGACGAGCCATGTGGAAATGTGCAGTAGAGATGGAGTTAAATATTTTTTTAGGTTTCCTAATAAACAACTTATAATTTCACTATTAGTCCAGCTAGAGTACAAATTTCGCTATACAATTTACATAGTACCAATTTAGCACCTCAAAATTCACATATGTGATTAATGAGCATTTAGTGCATGGCAGTTTTGTGACTTTTGTCATTGTGCTT